GTGGTTGACAACTGTAGTCAGCTTAGATTCATTTCTAAGACAGTCATAGCAAAAAGATGTCAAGAATCATCAAAATGTCCTTAGAAATGTTTCAAAGGCTTCGCTGCCGTCAATCTTTATGCTCAACACGTTGTATAAGCTTCCCCAAAAATCCCTAAATGAGCTACTTTTTGCGTTGTAAGAAGTGATGTAGAGACACATGAGTAAGTTAACTTAGCTATGTAATGTAGATTTTTTATAATTTCTACTAAGGCTTTTTTAAATGTAATTGTATATGCATATCTAAAAATAATTCTCTAACATCTCCTTTTCTTTTTCTTTCACAGATATCAGTGTTACGGATTCTCCCGGTTCCTTCGTCACCTAGCCAGGACCCCCCCAGGACCCCCCTCCCGACCCCGCTCAGCAGCCCGGGCCGGACCGGTGCCCGCACTCTGGCAGACATCAAAGCCAAAGCTCGGCTCGCCCGAGTGCAGCGAGCAGCGGCGGCCGCAGTATCGTCTGCATCCAGGGGGGCGGTGCCAGGCCCGGGGCCGGGGGGGGGCAGTGAGGATCGAACACAGCCGTCACCCAGCCCCTCCCCTACTTCCCCTCAGGCTCCAACCTGCATACCAGCCCCCAGTCAGACCAGTACACCTCCCTCTCACCCACTGGACTCTTTTACTCTGCTAAGCCCAAACCGTTCTCCACCATCCTCTGTAAGCAACACTGATGAAAAACTCAAAGGCCATCCTGCCAGTTCTGTCAGTGCAGGACCCGGGAGTGATCAGATAAATCCCACTACACCATCACAGGAAACCCCGTCACCTGCTGCATCTTCAACCAAGAACAGCTCCTGTATCCCTGCAAACAACCCGCTGGTCACTCAGCTCCTGCAGGGCAAAGACGTTCCCCTGGAGCAGATCCTCCCAAAACCGCTCTGCAAGTCTGAGGTGAAGACGTCAAGCGTACCCTCGGGCAGTAAGGGGAAGCCGCTACACTCTGCAGAGCACAGGGCTGATAAACAGATGTCCCTGCCGTTCAGTACAACAGGACGAACAGGAGTTTTCTCAGAGTACACAAGACTTGGGGAGCTTCCTGATAAGGAGACTCAGGAGCAGATCCTGCAGGCTCTGATGCAGAGGAAGGCTCCGTCCAGCCAGCCTTATGTTGGCATAGGGCCTCAGTATCCTCAGTACAGAGTCCATCAGCTGGTGCACGCAGAGGAGCGTCAGGACCAATCCAGGATTTCTGTAGGGTTTCTGGGTCGTAGGAAGATGCCGAGGCCTGCCATGACGGGACATTACCTGCTCAATGTGTCCACATACGGCCGAGGACCAGAAGGCAGGAGACTGCAGCAGTCTGTCATCCCTAACACGTCTGTGTTCGGTTTAAAAAGGGAGAGCACAGATGGAGAAGAGGCGGCTAAAGGAGAAGAACCAGCCTGGAAGTGTTTCTTTCCGGCTTCTGGAGTTAAAACAGAGCAGCACGGATTCTCTATAACCAAGTCTGACGAAGCAGCAAGCGTTCAGCACTGCTCTGATGTAAAGACTGAGCCGGGATCAGACCCCAGTGCAGCCGCCAAAGACACCAGCCCTTTTTCTCAATCACACCGAAGGAACCTAGAACTCTGCAATAGTAACCAAGGAAACTCTGAGCCATATCTTTCCCAAGTGGACCTCAGTCACCAGCGGCAGTTTCAAACCCAGCGGACGCTCGATAATCAGGAAGCGTCGTGCTACGGCGGCACTATCAGCGTGTCTGTACCTCACACCGGCATCGGCTCCTCCACCGTCTCCTCAGAGGCTGACGGAGGCGGCGTCATGTCTTTCTCCGTGACCGTCACCACCATACCTGCCGGCCACCAGGGGGAGCCCTCCTCGGAGCAGTCGTTCATCGAGGGCTCCAACATGGAGGACGTGCAGTCTAAGTGCTACTGCAGACTGAAGGCCATGATCATGTGCAAAGGATGTGGAGCCTTTTGCCACGATGACTGCATCGGCCCCTCCAAACTGTGTGTGTCATGTTTAGTCGTACGATGAAATGAATAATAAGTACAAGGGTGTATACAATCACTGCTGGTGTGAAGCAACACTCCAGAAAAAAACAACCAGCATGAGGTCGCTGTTGGGAAGGCAAGGATTTACACTGGATGGTCTTTCGTTTCACCAACATCTAAGAAAAGTTGTTTTCGTGCCGTTTTTTGGTAGAAATATCAATCCGTTTTGATTCAAATCAGTAGTCTATCAGACGTGCGACGATTATGAAATCTGGCAGTGTTTGCACTCGGATAGGATCGGTGTGATATATTTTTTTAAATATATATATTATATATACGTGTAGTTTTTAAAAACAACGAGGGAAAATGAATGTTGCTATTTTTGTAGAACATAATGACTGTTAAATACTGACACTTTTTATTATTGGGCCTGATCAGTTATGGTTTAAGGCATAAAAAGGGTGCTAATGATAATCATTGCTTGTAGAGTACCTCCTGGCATTTATGCACGCATGGCAGGGAAGTGCAACTCACAGTAACTATTTTATATATAAAATGTACATTTATTACTGAACATACTCAGATATAAAGATTAGAAAGATCCTGTATCGTTTTAGAAATGGAATATAAATAGAATTTTAATTAACTTGTAAGGATTGCACATCAAATCATTTTTGACGAAGCACTTGGATTTATAGAAACTATGTACAGCACTTGCATTCAAACATCATTTAACATAAAAATGTCTATATGTTCCTTCTGGTAAATTGAGATCTTTTCCATTCCAGGTTGAAGGTCTAACGTTACTTCCTGCTGTGTGTACCTTCTTCATTTTCTCCCCAAAATAGCCGGTTAGTAGATATTGTCTCCTGTGAGCGGGGGCTTGATGCTTGTATGTCTCGAATGACAGATCAGCAATGGCAATCAGTAAAGAAAACACTCAAGGCAAGGGGAGAAAATAAGAATCATTTTTGTTTTTCCACTGTAAATATCTGCTTATTTACAGTATATGCCTACATGTAGAAATGATTTTATTTGTGCAGCACACGTTGCTTGAGTATATCCTGTTAATTACATAATCATTTGTACTGTTGAAAGAGAACAGTACGTTGTTCTTAAACGCTAAATGCTTTTTCCATAAAATGATACAGCATAGCACGCTGTACTGTAGTTTCACAAATATTTGGAGGTACAATATGACACCGTTTAACAGGCGGATGAAACACTTAAAATGGCCGTTTTCCAGAGTATTTGGAGAGTTACCCTCAATATGAATGTGGTATTGTCAGCACTAAACAATATTGTATCATGATATATAATATACAATTATGTATGTGTGTGATGTATAAGGACAGCTGCATTACTATTTAAGCGCTTACTTTACTACATATTTAACTGGAAAAAGGCCGGTGTTAAGTATTAACTCTGAATGTTTTTCGGCTGCTCATGATCATTGCAAAGTAAGACGCATCAACTTTGTTTAGGAATGTCCTGGAGGTGCAAAGTAGGCCTGTTTTTAATAGCAATTATTTCTAAGGTAATATGCCAAAGTCACCTTTTAAAGAAAGTAATATAGTAATCATAAAGTAATATATTTTAATGAATATATTTTATATTAACAAAAATCTATTTGCTAATTGTTTTTGAAAATCAACAGGGTATTTACTATAATAATAATATATTGGCTGTCCGTGTTTCCTATATTGTTTGTGACAGACCACCATGCAGAGAATAACCAAGTATCAGTACTCTGTATGGCCCAGCTTTTTGCAACGGATCTGTTATTGGTCTATATTTTTCCATAGAGATGTTGTCATATGTGTGTGTACCCTTTTAGCTGTCTACATTTGTGTCATTTTATCATGAAAACAAAAAGAGAATGTTTTTAAAACCACAATTTTTAGGTCAGTGGATTAATTCAAGTCCATTTTTTTATGTATCTGTTATTAAATTGGGGGTAAAATTGTTTTTAAAACCGTAGGGCTAGAATCAGACGAGGTTTCCACATATTTAGCATTTCACTATAAATGGTACCAGTGTTTGATTCTGTTAACACAAATTGTATTTATCCCCCATACATATTTAGGTCTTATTTGGTTGAATGTGATGTTTTGTATTTACTCGTGTAGAGTGGGGGGGCTGGATTGCTCTGCAAAAATAATTAACAAAAACAATCAATCACCCCGAAAGGCAGCTGAAATCTTTGTTAATGAGGACTGAAACTCGAGTCAGGCAGCGGCCCCCTCCCTCACTGAAGTTACCCGTCGTGTGTTTTCAGACGAGCAGTTCATAAAGAAACGCCCGTTATGTGTCATGGGCAATCACCACCATTTTTGAAATGTCACGTTTATCACTAGGTGAATTTGTTTAATATGTCTGTGTCAGTTTGTCTCCATTTAAACTCCGGGTGAATGTAATATAGTAATCAGCACTTGTAAACAAAGTGTATTTTACCAGAAGTTATAGACTATATGAATAAATAATGAAAAGTATTTTGTCTGTGTTTTCTGTTGCTTGTCTCCCACGATGAACTCTATGAAAACAGTTGTATAGCGTCTTCTCTAATGTTATCAGGGTTGGCCCCGTGGTTCTGGGAGTTCATTGTTTCACAATAGGAAATGTTTCTTAATCAGCTTTACATTTCTTTTTCAACTGCATTATTAAATATCTGTTTCAAAGGCACAACCATGACAATATAAATAGAAACATTGGGCGATAACCTATCAACTACCAAGGTCTGTCAACAATCATCCAAACTGATCTTAAATTGTATTATGGGAAATGTAAGATTTAGTGTTTTTGGAGATTGACTCATAAACAAGTCAGAATCTCTGTCTCTGCTTTGATTTTGTAAAATGTTTTTTGAAATATGTTCTTTTGAATCCACCAACTTTAAGAACGTATTGAAACACTGGAGTTTCCCTTAAAATGAGATTGAATCAGTTTGGTCTTTCATCTCCTCTCTATAATGCTGAGGATCATAACTCTGTCAAAGCAGCAATGTTAGTAGTGCGTGCGCCTTTAACCAGCGTGCGTGCGCACATGCGTAAAGTGTAGTAGAGTCCGCGCATGGCAGCTCGCGCCCTCCTGCTGCTCTGCCGTCCTCTGCCGCTGGTCTCTGCTGGTGAAGCCGAGCGGAGCGCGGCGCCTCTTCGTTTCTCTGCGCGGATACAACCGCAGTTCGCAAGATTGAAGCCGGATGAGAGAGAGGAGGAGGGAGAAATATGAAGCTGGGTCACCGGAGCCGCGTCGCATCGCCCGGACAGCTGTAAGGTCGGCGGACACACGCGTGGATTCATCAAAGGTGAGATGTGCGACTGTGGATCACGGAGGAAATATCCTCCTTATTCACCATGGACTACTTATAATCCACATCTGATGCCGATGATGATGATGATGATGATGCTCTAAACGCATCCTGCGTGATTTTCCTAGGGTAAAGGCCAGCTTTGCCTCTTATGAATCTGTCGAGACAGCCGTGAGAAATAGATGCAGGATTGCCATTGTTTGTTATGCCAACATTTTTTATGAGCATCACGACACACCGTTCCCATTGCAGAAATAAGGTAAATAGGCAGTTACATCACCGATATGGCTGCGTTTGTGTCCCTCCGTCGCTTTGAAAGTGAATTGTAAGTGTTGCAGGGCTGCTCACCGTGAGGAATGAATGAGGCTTGTAGAAGTGGATGATATCAGCGGAAGGGAGGTACTGCAGTAGCCCAGTCCTTCTGTTGACTCGCGTCAAAGGATGTTGTCATTAGCTCGCAGCTGAAGGTGCGGTTACAGTAAATGCACCTTTACGGGATTATATTGATAACCACACTGTTTTACTGTTTAAAAAAAGGGCTGACATCAACATTTTTGTGAGCTAAATATTAAAATGTGTGCAAATAAGAGGACTGAAAATCCCCTGAATGCAGAGCTTTATCACGCTGCTGCTCTGTGAATTCATTTGTCCATGAATTATTAAGAACTTGTCTCTGCTTCCTCATCTAACCTGAAATTATCAGCTCCTGCATTGAAGCTCTTTTATTTGCTGCCATGCACTGCTTTACATTTTTCCCCAAACATTTCCTGCCAATGTAAGGCCTGAGTTGCTACTCATGGATTTCTGCAGTTACTTCACAGGCTGAATATTTACAATGAGCCATTGTGTTGTTTTGCTGACATGTGTCTGTTGGGTCTCCCACTGCATAGCTAATGTTTCTTCCCTTTGCCCCCAGAGTACAGCAGTGCTCCTCTGACACATTAAACCTGAATTACAGTGTGTGCTGCTGCCCCATGTAGGACGCCATTGAATCTGTAATTAGGCTGAGCAAGTGCTTTTAATGGCCTTAAAAAACCTTTAATCCAGACTGAGTTTTTGACAGGATTTGCACTGAGCTAAAAATAGCCATAATATTATTTCAGAGCAGTGAAAATGCTTCTTCTTTTAGCATATAGCTCTTTATTGCGTTGTCTTTCTTAGATTGCAGCCATATGATGCAAGTAATTGATTAGATGCACAACGACAAATTATAATTTCAGTTTCTCAAAAGTAAGGATTTTCTCTTTTTCTCTTTCTTGCATCATCGTCAAGTCAATATGTTTTGGATTGTTCTCAAGAAAAAGAAGACACTTAAAGATGTCACCTTGAGCTCTGTTGAGGGATGGTGATGGATGGGTATGAATGTAACTAAAGGCTATTTTCAGTGAATTGTTTTGTCCTTTCAACTGTCAGAAAATAGTGAAAAATGAACTCCCTAGAACCCAAGGGGATGTCCTCAAATGTCTTGGTCAAAACCAAATAACATTAATGACATTGTCCTTATGAAAACACATTTCTCACAAGTGTGAAGCTACAACTAGCACGTCTGTCATTTTTGCTTAATGACCAATAGGATTATATATTTTTGGCCAGAGACTGCCTTTGTTATATGCAGTGTAGAAAGGGGGGGGACAGGGGGGATGACATTGCCAAAATACTCCTGCAGGCCGGAGTCGAACCTGCGTACATGGAGTTATTGTCTAGTTGTTGGACTAGTGATGGATTAGCAGTTTTCTTACATTTCATTGACTTAATCAATAGATAATCATTAGTTGTAAGCCTGATTATAATATCTAATGTTTTTTAAATAGAAATAGAGTAATTCGTGACTGCATTTCAGTGGACGAGGTGCTTTTAAATGATCTTTCTGATGCCTGTAACCCCTGATGAGAACCGGGCAACACGAGCCAGAGGTAGAGACTGGAGAGAGGATCTGTCATACAGCAGGGATCACCGTGAAGACGAGTGAATAAATAAATAGAGAAATCCTGCCTGTAGACTTCCTCAGGGCCGCAGAACCTTCCCTTCTCGCTCTGCTGGCATGAACGCCCCCTGGTCACTGGTCAGTGAACGCACCCCTTGTGTACATGCACCGGGGCATGTTGGGGGCTCTCGATCCGAGGCTTCTCCTTCATTGGTCGGCCGTACCGGCTGTGTGTCCGCGGTCTTCTTTAGGTGCTTCCTCTGCAGCTCTTGCTCGGTGTCATTAGCCCACAGGATGCAGTCACTGTGAGCGGGATGTCACGGAGAATCATCATTTGCACAGACCACGGGCGCTGGAGTGTTCCCCAGCCAGCTCACCAATATCTCTACAGGAAGAGAGGGAGAGGAAACAAAAGCACAAATGGAGAGTTACTGAAGTCCTTGAAGGAGGGAGAGAGGGGATGTGTTAATGAGTTATTCAGAAGTCAACTACATTTTGTCAGCGAATAATTGCTCGGCTCTCGTGATGATCAAGTCATAAAGACTCACTAACTGTTTCCAATTTTCTTCACAGGGCCGACGTTAAGGGCTTCTCTCTGTTTGACACTCAGCCAGCGACAGGTAAATATTGAGATCCTAAGTTATATCTTATGAGGTCAAAGACATAGTACATCTGTCCTTTGAAGTTTAAAAAAAATAGTGTTTACCAATTTCTTATAACACAAATGTATGCCACTTTTATATATATATATATATATATTAATACTACTAATAAATGTTGTCATATTATAAGAACTCAAGGTTATAATACTTTCTGTTCAAGAAAAACGTCACCTGGAGAAATGACTACAACATTAAACACTGTGATGACACTTATTGAAGAATCGTATATTATTGAATAAAATAAGGACACCCGTTTGGTTTCAAAGGGAATGTGCCTTCAACAAGTATGAGAGCTATGTTGAAACAGAACCAGACAGGAACAATGAATCCTCTGAGTCAACCCTGAAGTTGAATCAGGTGTCAGAACAAAAGTCTGAATTGTTCCATAGAAGGTTTCTGTATAAAAGAGATGAGTGTGTTTCTGTTCTTTCTCCTGAAGAGGAAATATATATTCTGCCTCGTGGAAAAGATTAATTACTACACGGTGGCATTATAAACATCTTTTATATTATATTTGAGAAGCTGTTTTTATGGCTGAACACAGATTGTCGACACACTTTAAATGAATTGTATGAACTTAAAGGTAGGGTAGGTAAGTTTGAGAAACCGGCTCGAGATACACTTGTTGTTATATTCCATGGAATGCTCTTAACATCCCGATAGCAATGAATATCTTAAGTGCTTTGACAACAAAATCCATTAAAAAATGTCATCTGTGGAAGCCGTGGTACTGTAAAAAGCACGACCAATCATCTGAGCCGGCCCGGCTAAAATAACTGGATGGCCTACCTGCCTGTCAGCCTTCCATCTGTGCACAAACTTATCTCGTGCCCTCATTGGTCATGTGCGCGTTCGTATGTGTTGGAGGAGGGGCTCTATAAGGAAGTGGCAGATTTTCTCCGGTTGTGTATTTTCAAATTCTAGCGCACTCGAGCTGGTTTCTCAAACTTACCTACCCTACCTTTAAAAAAAAAAAAGTTGCAATAACAAAGCACACCTAAAACCACATATTGACAGTTTTCTTGTTTTGCTTCAGGATGTCATGTGATATTCAGCTGAGCCATGCTAGCTACTTTCCCCTATATAAAGACTTGAAGCTAAGCTAATCAGCTGCTGTCTGTGGTTTCATATTTAGCATACAGATATAAGAGTGGTATCAATCTTTTCTTCTCACTCCTGGCGATAAGGCAAATTCTTTTTTTGCTAAAATGTTGATAATTTGCTTTATAAAAAAGTCACAGTAAATTGTTTTAGTTGCCACTGAGCACCCCTCAAACTGCTGTATAACTGAGCCAAGATATCTAGAGTCAGTGACATTTTAACTTCAACTCAATATTCTTCAACTCAAAGTGAAACAATTTGACAGTTCAGTTGTATTATTATGGCAGCTTTTCAGAGTCTTTCAAAGCAATTACATCATTTGTGTAGCCCTAAAAAATATTTTAATTTCATCCCTATAATTCTATTAAACGCAGAACTCAAGGCATATTTTTTTACAGTGAAGTGTTTAACCGCAGTGATGACTAATACTGTCCTTCATGTACAGGGTCAATAATAAAGATGAAACATCGTGTCCTGCTGGTACACCAGTGTTCAAGAGCTGAGCACAGAAAACACTCAATACTGGTCACAGAAAGACCATATCGTCTATATTTGAAAGAAGATTATGATATTTAGGTCCTCATTTATGTTCAGTCTTCACACGAAATGATACAGAGTTGTATAAAATATTTTCTAATGATATCTATTATTAATAATCTTCACTTGCACTGTTTCTGATGGTTTCTGGACGATAAAGAGAGCCGTGTTATTAACAGTAAACATTTCCCGCGCTGCTGTTTGATGTGCCACAGGATGATCGAGGAAGGCAGCAAACGAGGCAAGGCCATGGTGGAGAAGAGACAGCTCTTCATGGAAATGAGTGAGTGGAGTCGACTGAGAGAAATCTCTTTTCACTATTCACAGTCAGCAGCTCATCATGTAATGCTCTCACTGGCTCCAAGTTGCACAAGAGATATTTGCTGCTTCACACGTACAGTAATTCCTCCCACACAGAGACGGTGATAGTGTGAATGTTTCTCCAGTAAGAAACACTTTCATTGTATGTCTAAGTGGACTGGCTTGGAACTGATTTTTCTTTTTTGCAGGAGCTCAAAACTTTGATGTAATCAGACTGTCGACGTACAGGACTGCCTGCAAACTCCGGTTTGTGCAGAAGAGATGCAACCGTAAGAGTTTTCCTCTCATTTCAACTCTAGAAATGTTTGTTCCAACATGAATACAGTCTCAGTGTTTCCGTTTCCCCCTCTCAGTTCATCTGGTGGATGTGTGGAACATGATCGAGGCGTTTCGTGACAACGGGCTCAACACGCTGGACCACAACGCCGAGATCAACGTGTCGCGGCTGGAGACGATCCTGTCCTCCATCTACTACCAGCTCAACAAGCGGCTGCCCACCACCCACCAGATCAACGTGGATCAGTCCATCGGGCTGCTGCTCAACTTCATGGTGGCCACCTACGACAGGTACGAGGCAGAGGAGCGCTGCACTCTGCAGGCGGAGATCATTGGAAACACTTCTTCTGTTGGTTGGGTATTAATGCAGGAGACATCAAAAGCAGGGCTTAATGTAAACAAGTGTTTCAGGACAATGGACAAGGACATGGTTTAACATTTCCAATATTAGTGTAGAAGTTCTCAACTTATGAGCCTTTGTCACTGGATGCATAGAACTATCGCTTGTGACCACTTTCAAATAATATCTAAAAAGGTCAAATGTTCTAGTTCTTTACACGAAAAAGCAAAAATTAAAAGCTAATTAGAAAATCAGATTTTTTTGCAATTTTCTATTTTCTTACCATCTTTTATAAATTGGACGATGAATCTGCAGCCCTAGTCTGAATAAATAACTGCTGCAGAACATTCTCAGTTTTACATTTAATTAGTACGAAATTAATAAGTGTTAATCTCCAATCTCCAAACTTTAGTATATGCAATTTCTTTTTAAATTATTAACCATTTCTATAAAGTATTTTTCCCAATACAGCTGTCCACGCTGCAGGTTATTAAATGCTGGGGACAAAATTCCGAATTGTTTTGGAAGTCTTGAATTGAATATGGTAAACGCCGAAACTCTAGAAATAATACACAGCAGTAAGTGGCTTTAGCGTTCCTTAATGGCCCTGATTCTATATTGTACAAATGCCTTGGAAACCATGTAAATGATCTGACAAAAGCTGTAAAAAATGCTCTCATTATCGATAACACAGCAGATACAAAAATAGTCCCTGTCAGCTGAAGTATTCCTGGTGATGTCTTACTGTATATCCCTCCTCTTGACATCTGCTCTGAGCTCGAGGCATCCTGTATTATTGACTGTAAAGCTCTCTCATTATTGTTCCCTATGAGCTCATGCTGATTGGCTGCTGGCCCCGTCCATTCATCGACCCGTTCAATTGGTTTACTTTTATATGTAAGGTCACTCCGGCCCCACTCCGTTATTATTCATGCTGCCGTATCTCTGAGAAACTTTGTGGAAATGACTGTCTGTGATCACAGGAAGCCGTTTGGCTATCTGTCCCCGAGGTCCAAACTGAATTAGGCAGAAGAGCTTTCATGTCCTCGGCTACCGCTGCTCGGAAGTCGGGGCCAAATGAAAGTGAAAAATGAAATGAAAGAGCAGCTCTCTCTGGGCAAGTTGAACAGGTTTCAAGGGGTGTTGAGGCAGCCTTGATAATGAGCTGAATACACATCGTTAATCTGTTAGTTAATGTTTTCGTCCTGATTTTATTACATTTGACACACAATTGAATACAAATAACTTGTTTGTATAATCTGTTTATCGTGACGTACATTTTTCATCTCAAATTCACAATCTCCAAAGAGTTCTCGGGTCACAATAAGATAAAATACTATACTTTTTTCGAGTTAAATAGTCAATAATGCGTTGTATTTCTGTGAAAACATGACATAATCGTTATTAAAGTGAGGCTATGGGACACAGCTACATCTGGAGGGACAAAACAAGTGTGCTTATAAATTCCACTTGTCTTTCTCTTTGCAGTGAAAGCCATGGGAAGCTGACCGTTTTCTCAATGAAAGCCATGCTGTCTACAATGTGTGGAGGGAAGATTGTGGACAAACTACGCTGTAAGTGCATTTATATTCCGTACACATACAGTTTCATAAAACATATTTGTGAATGAGCTGCAGTTTTTAAATCAGCCCTCTGAAGTCTGACGTCATGGCTGCATTCATGTCGTTTCTCAGATTGAACACACAGGGGCACTGTAGGAACGTCTATGCTACATTCATTTGCTTTAACTCTGCATATTTTCACTCTATGCTGAGTGTATGGTTGTGGATCAATCCTATACATTCATAAATAAGTTTTTAAATGTCAAAAGGCTGACCCAAAAGCCTTTTTTATACTTGTTTTTTTGCATGGATTGGCTACTGTTGTGTTTTGCACTTTTTGCAATGTTAACTTACAATCATTAATATGAGATTTGCTGTCTTTCAGATATTTTCTCACAGATCTCAGACTCAAATGGAGTCATGATGTTTGCAAAGTTTGATCAGTTTCTCCGGGAGGTGCTGAAGCTCCCCACAGCCGTGTTCGAGGGTCCGTCTTTCGGCTACACGGAGCACTCGGTGCGCACATGCTTCCCTCAGCAGGTATGAGGAGCATATTTAAACCACATTCCCACTCTCTTTTCACACTGTATCTTCGTTCAACTCTCTAATGATGTACACGTCTTGTTTCATTCATGTTTGTGTGTGTTTGTATCCAGAAGAAGATTATGCTGAACACGTTTTTGGATGTGTTGATGGCAGACCCTCCCCCTCAATGCCTCGTATGGCTACCGCTCATGCACCGACTTGCTAATGTTGAAAATGGTGAGATCTGGACTCTTAAATATTTGTAACCACTCCATATTGGGAACCACATAGGAATTTACAGGTTTTTATTTTTCTAAATTTGGAGCCAACATTGTCTGTCCAGAAATAAATCAATAAAAAATCTCTGTACTGTAAATATTTTTTACATTTTATTTTACATACATCCCAATGGTCCGATAATTGATTATACAAGTTGAAGTAATAATGCACAGATTCATCTATAGTAGTTAGTTACAGCCCTTTGATTAAAAGTTTAATAAGGACCCGTCCCCAAGTCATTGCCCATCAGGTCTGTATCACTCGATTATCACTAAACACTAATCATAGTTCATAAAAATAGTCCACACACTCAGACAAACCCTCCAAAGTGCCTTAAAACTCTTTCAAAACTCGTGAGTAAATGTCACTTTCGACACTGATCAAACCTTTTATTGTGTATGTCAGACAAGAAAAGGTTAGACAAACTGCCTTAAAAATAAATAGAAGATTTCATTAATCAAACCAATCTAATCACACATCTGTCTCAGGGGTTTGACACCCTCTGTGCTTAGACCCATGCAGCGTACAAGGCAACACTCATCAAAGAAACACCCAAATAACGTGGAAAAAAATGGAAGACACCTCGGGGGCAGCAGCAGAGGAGGGGTCCCTCTCCTATAACTGACAGAGGTGCAAAAGATGTTGTGTTTAGGGAATCAGTTACATATACAAAAATCCAAGAACATCCAAATGAGAAAAAAGGATATTATGAAAATAAAGGAGATTTTACTCTGTGAGTAAAGATGTCTTCTCTCCAGAGGTGGGAAGTAGTGCAGTACAAATACTTCGTTACTGTACTTAAGTACATTTTTCTGGTATCAGTACTTTACTCCACAACTTATTTTTCTGACAACTTTTTACTTTTACTTCTTACATTTTTAACACAAATACCTGTACTTTCTACTTCTTACATTTTTAACACAAATACCTGTACTTTCTACTTCTTACATTTTCCAAACAGGCTGGTTACTTTAGTTTGAATGTGTGTTTGGTGGCGTGATCATTATTATTTAGAGTCATTGCGTGCCTCTTGATTTGAACACGATCCGTGTATCCATCATTTCCTGGTCTTCTCTAAAGAAGAGGGACCAATGAAAACGTTGTCATGTTGCCGTTGTTCAGCATGGAAACATTCATTAGCTAACAATGACATTATTGTTCTATTAATATAAAGGGAGGTCAGGTACTCTTTAAAACAGCTGCTAGTTATGGGTACTTTTTACTGAAGTACATTTCAAAGCCCATACTTCTTTACTTTTACTTGAGTAAAGAAGTTTAGTCAGTACTTCTACTTTTAAACATAAGTATCTGTACTTCTACTTGAGTAAAGGATGTGTGTACTTTTGCCATCTCTGCTTCTCTCTGACAGAAAATCTTGCCTTTGTTTTTAATTTTTCCCGTCAGTCTTCCATCCGGTGGAATGTTCCTATTGCCGGAGCGAGAGCATGATGGGTTTCCGGTACCGGTGCCAGCAGTGCCACGGCTACCAGCTGTGCCAGAGCTGCTTCTGGCGCGGCCATGCCAACGGTCCCCATAGCAACCAGCACCAGATGAAGGAGCACTCTTCCTGGGTAAGACCTCTGAACACACTCACTGTCACCGTCACGATGTTCCCTTCAAAAAACCCACAAGTCCCAAAGTCAATATCTCTGAGGGTAGAGTATCCAGCCGTCTCTCTACACTTCCTGTCCCGTCAGAGAAATCCATGAGATGTTATGGAGGTTTCACTCATTATGACAAATGAAATCGTATTGATTGAACTTTCTGCCTTGCCGCATCCCCCCAAAGCGTTTTCATTATTATTTAAATCTGAACAAGGGAAGTCATAGGCACTGGATCCCAAATCCAATTCCCATCAAACTCAGTTTTTGCAAAGAAGAGAATGACTCGGGGCTGGGATCACATGCCTGAGTGCACGACACACCGAACACTGTCTGTGATATGAAAACACATTTTGATATTTATCGTGAAGGTTTGGAGCATGCATCTGTTCGGGATGATTTCCTACTTCTGTGACAAATTGGAGTTAACGTCCTAATACCTCTGGGACATGTTTCATCACATTTATAGTTTTTGTGCTGAAAACAGTGAAGGTTTTGGGAAACAATTTAAACCCTTTATCAGATTTTACTGAAGTAAACCTAACACGATTTTCATTGAACAGTTGCTATTTTTTCTAAATGATAGCACATGCTACCCTGATCATCCTGCCCTAGATGTATTAATTAGTTTGTGTTTTAGTTTTCACTGTTGAACCGTTGAGGGTTGAATGACTCTAACCTGCCAGAATCGTTTTCTGCATGACAGTAGATGATTTGATATTCAATATGGAAAGACTTAATATTAAAAGATGAATACTGTCTAAATAAGAGTACAGTTACAGTATCATCTATCCATTTTTTTCTTATTATTATTGTATGTTGTGGTTATGCTGCATTGATGTCATACCAGACATATTTTCCAGTTTTTAACAAATGGAAGTATTTCATGTAGTTACGTTACATTACATTACATGTCACTTGTTAGACGCTTGTATCCAAAGTGACTTTCATACATTCAATACTGTGGGCAATCCCCACAGGAGCAATTTGGGGTGAAGTGTCTTGTCCAACGACACAGCGGAATGTTTGACTGCGGCGGGATTCGAGCCCCCGTGATCCGAAGATCAGCGTACTAACCACTGAGCCACAACCTCCCATGTAGTCATGCTGCTACACTCAGATGTTCACATGACATGACAGCAGGAGAGCGGACTCATTATGCTGCAGTTTCTGGGCCGCAGGGCAGCCACCAAGACGTCCTGTGAAGTAGCCGATAAGGCACTTACTGAATATGCACAAACTCCTGCTGATCCACACTTTTGGCACAGTAACAAAATGTTGACCTAGTTATGTAAATTCAGTCTGAAGCAGCTTAAAACTGTTTCTACTTTCCCCACACGATGGTGACACATGACACGACAAGGTGATAGATACTTGTGTTTTTTCCCGCCCTCCTCACAGAAGTCTCCGGCCAAAAAGCTGAGCCACGCCATCAGTAAATCCCTCGGCTGCGTCCCCATCGGAGAGCCGCCTCATCCTGTGTTCCCCGAGCAGGCGGAGAGACCCCCGGAGCTCACCCACACTGTGTGAGTGTCATTCACACAGCATTTGTTACCACTAGTTGTTTTATTAATGAGCACTGATGTGTTGATTAACTGCACAGCAAGGCCCAGTGTGCTGCTGATCTATTGTCTGCTCTTGTCATGTAACAGCCTCCATATTTCCATCTCGCCGTCACACCATGACTGATATACTGCCACGTGGCTAAGATGTTGAGCCCATGATTATTTGCTAACGTGGATATGGTGATATACTGCAAAGGTTCGGCCGCTAACAGCACCCTCGTCCTCATCAGTCTGTTGGCAATGAAACGGGGACGACGGTATAAATCTCACACCGCAGGCTTTGGGGCTCCTGGAAGTCATTATAGGAAATGCATTTTATTCTGCAGCTGTCTTAAACCCCGCACACTCATTTACATCTCAGATGAAAAATGGTACGATGTCAATAATCAATTCCCCCGCTGAGATACATCCAGTAGTCCACAACGCTAAGGTCACTGTGTATTTTTCCCATCATCCTTACGCCAATTCAGTTTTTGCCTCCACAAAGACATAACAATCTAATAAAAAAGTGATTTATAGTGTTGCCTGTTCGTGGCATTAATAGGATCACAGGAAATCTTCTCATGGCTTATTTCATAACAAAATCCTTCTTCATATTCCAGTCACGACCATACATCTAAGCTGTCTGTATATGGTTTTGCTTCTGGCAAGTGTCAGTGAGTAATTGATAGTGAGCTACATCATTGGGCGAGAAACGAGCGCACTGAATGCCAAGAAAAATATACAACGTAGAAACAACATAAACATGATTTCCTGTTTCTACTGCGAGACAGAAGCCATCATCTCTGAATCAGTGCTCCCATCAAGGCTCTGCCCACTGGCGGAAGCGTTTTTCTGCCTTCTGCCCAAACGTACGCATGTTTTGCATAAATCTACATCAAAACCTGGGCAATCAACAGTTTCCCTCCATGTGGGAGATGAGGTGATGGGATTAGCCTGCGCGCTATAGGCTGTGTAGCATGAAATGACAGCACAGAAGTAGATTCATATTGATTACAAATGAAATGTGTGGCTGAAACTAGTTTATGATTATGTCTCTCTAGTGCCTTCAGCAAGCTGCAATGTGTGGCTTTTTGTTGTTGTTTGTTTACGATGTTGATTATGTTATGATGATGGTGGCTGAGATATTGAGTTCTGCCCAGGTGGCGCTCTTGGTTATATTAGATGTTATGGCACAGAAGCCTTAATGAACTCCAGGGTCTTGTTTGACTATTTCATATTGTTATATATATATCAGTTATTTGGAGTGGTAGAAAAGTGAATACATACATCTACCCAAGCACTGTATGTGAGTACAATTGAGTTTTTCCTCAGTAGCAAATGCAATGAGGGCATGCACATTGTTGTTTTCCCACACTCACTATGGGCACCTCACATTGCCAGCTAAGCCAATTAAAAGTAAGAAAATATGTAATGAGTCACTGACTTTAAATTGCTTTATTCTGCAATGTACATTTTTTAAATCCCTCATTCCCCAACTAGTAAAAAGGCACTGTTTCTGGTGTCTCTCAATGAAAGACAAAAAGCTTTACTGTATCACTAACAGGAGCTGTATCCTTCTACAGAAAAAAAAAGGTACTTGCTTAAAAGACATAAGAGCTTTAAGGTGGGGTAGGTAATTCACTTCAGAAACACTTTTTGTTATATTCCATGGAATGCTCTTAACATCCCGATAGCAATGAATATATTAAACGCTTTGACAACAAATACATACAAAAATGTCATCTGTGGAAGCCGTGGCGCTGTAAAAAGCACGACCAATCATCTGAGCCGGCCCGGCTAAAATAACTGGATGGCCTACCCGCCTGTCAGCCTTCCATCTCGTGCACAAACTTATCTCGTGCCCTCATTGGTCATGTGCGCGTTCGTGTGTGTTGGAGGAGGGGCTCTGTAAGGAAGTCTGAAGGAAGGGGCAGATTTTTTTCGGCTGCGTAGTTTCCAATTCTAGCGCACTCGAGCTGGTTTCTACATTCTTACCTACCCTACCTTTAAGTAGAATATTGAATGTGTACCTTTAGCTTGTAACAGAATTATCTTAGATTGTCGCACTACTTTAATAAAATACATCTTTCACCAATGGTTGATTGAGACAAGTAGCGATATGTACAGTAGGCCAAACTGACAGGAAAGGCTGGACTCCAGAAGAAAACAATACACATCTGTCTGATGCTTCAGCACCATGGAGAGTGCCATGGATTTATCAATACACTGCTAGCTTACTGTGATTTCAGAGCCATGGTGGAGCCCTTTGATTCTAACCTGCACAAACCTCAGTCTAGTCCTGACTTATTGATCCTTTATTATACTTCAATCTTTACTCAAACAACCCCTCTACTCTCTCTGATACGAGGGGATGGAGGAGGTGTTGGCAGGTTAACAAGGATGCATTCTTGTGCCTACAACAGTGATGAAGTTTTCTACTTGTGACGTCTCTTAAACTTTAGGAACATCCTGTCGTTATGTCCCCCTTTAAGACTTTAATAGACAAAGTGCATTCTCTTGCTCTCACAGATGGCCATTCAAGTTTGCTGGCGTGTTCACTGACTTTTAGGATAACTGATGTGACTGTTGACCCCTGAGACTAGTCTCTATGTCTCTGTTGTTTTTGTCTGATGCAGGGAAGATTTTTTTACCTGTGTTTGATGATGGAAAACTTTTTATGTTTTTATTTCGGTTTGGTGATAGAGTAGTATACTGTAGCTATGAAAATATGTTTTCCAATCCTGACCAACAATTCAAAATATGTATTCATTGGTGACTGCCTTTCTCAATGTAATGCTTAAGTATTTAACTGTGAATGGCTTTGAACTGCAAACCAAAGGCAACATTTTATCAAAAGAAAAATGCGATGAGTCTATTTTGCGAACACATGGCGGACAATATCCAGATATTATAACTTTGGAATATGGCACATTTTTGAGAATATTTAAACTCATATCCGTCTGTTGAATAGGAAGTTACAGCCTGTTATCTCAGCTGGGCATTAAGACTGCAAACAGAGAATCAGCAAGCCTGGCTCTGCCCTAAAGAAACAAAATCCACCTACCAACACCTGTCGTCTTTCATTCATCCACACAAAAAACTTGCAGGCATGCTGTCTTATCTCACTTTTAAAAGGTTCTGTCATATGGATGATTTTACCTTCAGACAGGCTTGCCCTTTCCCCTTTTTCAAGTCTTAATGCTAAGTTAAGCTAACCGGTTGCTGGCTGTAGCTTCTTACGTAATGAAAAGATATAAGAATGGTAAAGAGTGCTGCAGGAATGAGCCCACTAACCCAACAATTAGATAGCATGTTAGCACTTCGGCTTCACGTGTCTCTCAGTCAATGGGTTTCTGATTTTATGCCTGAAATAAGGTCGGTGGTTAATAAACGTTGAAGAGATTTTAAAACACAACAGTTACTCCCCCAATTGTGAACTTTTAAGCTTTTAAATGTCTCAAAACATGGAGTTGTTAACAAGTTACGAAATTAGGTGAATAAACATGATCCCACCAATCCCAAGCTGACGTTCGGCTTTGTGTCGGGTCCATGATTTATGCATCTGTGGTGCAGTTAGTTGATTGGCTTACGGAAGCTTTTCCTTCTTGCTGATTGAGTTTATGCCTCAGAAATCATAAAAAAAGATTGAATACGATTATCTTATTGAACAAAAGTTGTAAGTATCATAAATGTGTGTTTGCAAAAGAGCCTGTTTTCTGCTCAAATCCAATGGAAAAACCCCATTGGCTATTGTTTAAGGTATCCAGTGTGCCAGAGTTGTCCTGCAGAAACATGTCATCCCTGCAGCTTCCTCGATTCACCTCTAACTCCGAGACATGAATACAAATGAGCGTAATTCACAAAAGGTTAAACTATTCCTCTAGATCCAACATACCAATTGTAAATCTCACTTCTGCACTCTCTGTAGCCATGAGCCATAAGGAAGAGCTGGCAATAATGGAATACTTCACACTTGTTAACGGTCGTTTAAGAGTAATTATGAGTGGATAATACAGTATTTGTCCGCCTAACATTCCCATGATGATTCCCCTGCTGGCTACAGAAATCTTGCCTCAAACTGGTTCTTCAGATGATTAGTCACGGGAAAAGTGCCAAGCCCCGAAATGTATTCTGAATTGACTGTTTGAATTGTAGTGAAGATCCATAACGGAGAGAGAAATGTGATGTTGGTTTTCTGAAAGGAGAGTGCAGCTAGTTGCCAATCCTGATGAATGTTGACTGTGAAGAGGTGTTATTTCATGTTGTGAACCAGGAGAGTGTGTGTGTGTGTGTGTGTGTGTGTGTGTGTGTGTGTGTGTGTGTGTGTGTGTGTGTGTGTGTGTGTGTGTGTGTGTGTGTGTGTGTGTGTGTGTGTGTGTGTGTGTGTGTGTGTGTGTGTGTGTGTGTGTGTGTGTGTGTGTGTGTGTGTGTGTGTGTGTGTGTGTGTGCGCGTGTGTCTGACGAAGCTGTTGTGAGTGAGTAATAATGGCAGAATTGGGGTATAGCGTCAGGCTTGATCAAAACTCCCCAAACTGATCGGACATGAATCTCCAAATCGCCCCGACCCCCCGGCATTGTCTCCAGACGATGTGTATCTATTCTGAAAGCGTTTTGAAATATTTACTGGCATCTGAGAGCAAAGACTGACAGCGAGCTGAGCTGTGAGTTTTTACCTCCACTCAAACTGTCAGCGAGTTTCTTGCCGGTGTGTTTTGGAGAGGAGTTATAGGTTTGGGATGCTCTGTCTGTCTCGGGGACTTTAAATCTAAGATACAGCTTTCTACCTTCAGACCTCCGCTTCTGCGAAAAGACTTTAAGCACCAAAATAGTTGAACACTTTACACTATAGTGTCAAATGCTCAGTTCCATAAAAATATGCCACCCTCTATATATTTGAATTTGGATTTATGGTTTTTGCACAATTTAAAAATACACTAACATAACGTCTGTGCCTAAGATGCTGTGCCTCAGGTCGGTGGCTTCAAGGACTTTGATTGGACCTTTTTTTACTTCAAGTTATATTTCTATAATTATTGATTTATTGAATTCTAATATGGTGGAACTGTCACAAAATGTCTTTCTGGGATTAATAAAGCATTTTTGATTGATTGATACCATATTAGGAGACAGTGCAGGAAGTGATTATTGAAATTAAGTAAAATAATACAAAAATCCACACTTTTATATAAAACACAACATCAATATACAAACAATAATATAAATTCAATCATGATGAGACACTTTAAGAACAACTAATGATAAAAACATAGATTAAATAACTAATGTTAACTAACTAAACCTGCAGGTCCGCTGCAACTCTTACTACTTTTAAATCCAGGCTGAAGACTTTTCTTTTTGCCACTGCTTTTAATTGAACTATTCACATCTTAAACTGCACTGTAACTTTTAACTTTTATCCATGTATTTTTTCTTTTAATGTTTATTTTATTATCTTTTCTTTTTAATGACTGATTTTAAATGCCATTTTCATAATGTCTTCCATTTTTGTAAAGCACTTTGAATTGCCTTGTGTTGAAAGGTGCTATATAAATAAACTTGCCTTGCCTTGCCTTGCCTAATGTAAAAAAATATACAAGTAAATGTGAATGTGAAAAGTATATGAGCAGCCTATGTTTGTATATAGATACAGATAAAAGGGTAGTTGAACAGCTGATAAACAGTCTTTTTTACATTTTTTGGGGCTTTTTAGACGAACAGTATTTTGTTGTGTGGGAAAAGTCTTTCCATCATTTTGTACCCATATAATCCCCAGAAATCCCCTTACATTAAAGAACGCCTTCATCTGTTCTCAACTACTTTCTCTTATCCATCAATGCCATTAGAATAGAGAGAACAGTGCTTCACTTTCCTGTGTGATCCATTGGGCTTTGTATGGCCGGGGCCACTGGGGAAACAAGAGCCAGCAGGAGACGATGCTTCATGTTTTTGCGTTTTATTTTTAGCCGGCTTGAAAGCGATTGAAGGCAGCCATGCATCCGCCGTTTGTCAGGAATAAGGTTTGAGAGTGTGTGCATGAAGCTTCGTCTCCTCCTCCTGTACCCCTGCCGAGTGCCAAGTGCAAGGAAAGGGATGGCACATTGTCATTCACCGCACGCAGGTAGCACGGGGCTTAGCGCATTGCAGACTTTGATCTTTTGTATTGCCTAAATGTTGTGTCAACTGTTTGACCTCTGAGGCAGGAGTTACTAGACTGTGCTTCTTCTCTAGTCAGCGTCCCTTCAGTCGGGGGTCCGAGGGGCTGCAGACGCTGATGTTAGAATGACTCCAAATCTTGTCGGAAAAAGAAATACTTTTACGTAAGGAGACTTTTTGCCCTACATTTAGACAGGCGTTATAGTGGTGCTTTAATTTATGTAACTTGCTGAAGGTGAGCGGAGGAGTTAAGATATGTAAATGTGTTTATAGTAACATGTAAAGACCTGTTTTCCTTCTGAAGTGATACGAGTACATTTCTTTTTGAAGTTGCAATTGAGCTATTTTGGCATTCCCCTAATTCCCAGTGTATATGCATGTGTTGGAGAGAGAGAGAGAGGTGAAAATACCGAGTCAGAGCTTCAGAGAGGAGAGAGAGAGAGAGAGACGTCCGCGGCGTCATGAAGTCATGTGACCGCCGAGTTTCCTTGGAGACAGCAGCAGTGTAGTACATTGAGATGCTCTCTTGCTCAGTTGAGGGCAGATTAGGCATCTGGCAACAGCAGCAGCAGTCGGATGTATTTTTCCAGCCGGGCAGGTGCTTGCTCTCCTCACAGAGGTAAGGGTGATGAAGGGTGTCTGCTGTTCTGTCTGCTGCTCCGGGGGGGGTTATTGTAATATAGCAAGAGTTAAATAAGGGGAACCTTTAGTGGAGTATTTGTGGAGGGCAGCATGTGCAGGTTTGAGTAGAGACAGTTATTATTTTTCCTGTTGTTATACTTTTGCTTAAAATGTAAGAATCAGCAGGATTGTGTTATAATGTAATGTATAAATGACTCATTCGGTTCAGTTCACCCGTTAGGCTATAGTCCTGAAGGAAATGTAAATGCATGAGGCAATAATAGTTGCAATATGTCTTCAAAGAGAACACGTTAAACCCCCTGAGCATGCACATGAATGCAGGGAATGTGCACTCTTGTTTGTGAACAGCTAACAAATGACTTCAGCACAATTAGTGATCCAGAAATAATGCTGTTTTTCTGCTCTTATTTTTAGTAACACAGTAATACAGAAAAAAAGAAGGAGAGCTGTTGAGGCAGATAGTGGCACGGGAGCAGAAAAGCTCTCACTGTCTTGTGCTGATAACAGTATTCTGCAAAATGTGGATATAAATAGTTTGATTTTTTTGCCATAAATGCTGATTGGACGAATAAGCATAACGAGATGCAATGCTGTTCAGTGCTTTCTGCCTTGTATGTGATCATTAGTGCTTTAAATACATCTGTTACAATAGAATCAAGGCTGACAACTTCACAGAGATGCGTTGTGCAGATTGAAAAGATGCGACTACAGAGAAATGGAAATCAAGTGGGTTTTTTTCCTTGTGGCGGTGAAGTGTGAAGCGGCGAAGCACCCGAGATGTGCAGAGTGATATTTCTGAACCGTTAATGAGACTCTGTGGTCCGAGGGTTTTCGGGATGCAGCCGCCAGATGGACCCCATCGCTTTGTTTACTCTCACAAATTACCTCCCACAATGTCACCTTTCCTAGTTCTTCACAGTTCTTCCAGTGTAATTAGTTTCCTTGTCTGCTGTTGTTGCTCTTGTTTATGTTAATTAGGTTGAAGATAATGGCCCTAAAACGATTTAAATTGCCGTTCCACGGGAAAAGTCAATTATTTCTCTGGGATTTTAAGTCAACTCGAGTACAAGATGTTGCAGGCGTTGTGCAGCACATTCAGTAATATAATGATCTTCATTGTCTGCCCTCTTTTGTACAGTTGGAGTCAATTGCAGTCAGAGTCGCTGATTCATGATTACTAATAAAAATGAAAATGCCCTCTTCCCCATTTCCCTGGTGACAAGCACTTGAGGCCTCTGCAGAGTAGATTAAAGACCTGTAATCTTGTCTTTTAGTCAGCCGAAACCAGGGGCCAACAACATGAACGACACAATGCTCATGTCCTCTGGGGCGCCCACTCCTACCAAAAGGTAAGCACCAAGGCATAAAGCACAAGTCTTTTTGATTTGAAGATATTTTTCCACAGAATGAGCTTATTAAATATGCAAAATGTCAGTTTACGCTACACACATGCAAAAATGTGTTATTTGAATCCCTCAGAATTCACTCTGTGCTCAGAATAGGTGACAGAAATCAACGTGAAGTTATTTGTTCCTTTACACACGTTTCAGCATTCGATCAGCATGCCCTTGCAAGTGTATTTTTAGAGAAAGATTTGTTGCGCTGTCGCGAGGAATATGTGAGCGCTCCTACTTAAAGGATTTGACAAATAGATCGTGATAGAACTGGAGCCTGATCATGAAAGCAGAAAGCAGGCGAGGGCGAAAAAAGCAGCCTAATTGTCTTCTCATTTCATCCTCTCAGTTAAAGGCCAGCTCTCTTATTATTTACTCACAGTGCTAATGAACCATTGTGGTTAGGAATTATAATGGAGAGCACTTTGAAGCAGCTTCAATGCATCTGTCCTGCAAGTCTGTGCAGGATGAATTCATCCATGTGTGTGGATGTGTATCACAGTACACATCTTTCAGGCAATTTCTGTTTGCAAGATGGGACTGTTAGGGACTCAGGTCTTCACACGGCACATTAACAAGGAGGACACGTCACCGTCTGGTGTGCGGAAAGAATAAAAGTGTGCACATCAAACCCGTTTAAGATCAGGTGTTTGATTAAAATCCAGACAGAGGCTTTGATAGATAATTCAGAAAGAGCTTCAATGAGGGCTGGGGCTTTTTATTTCTCACTTTTGCTCTTCCGGGACCTCTGCAGCTGAAGGGCAGCATGCAAAGAATGTCCACAGCAGTGCGACTGAACTTTAAATGTGATTTAGCGATCATGCCGATATCCCATTACTTCTCTCTGTTTCATTACAAGTATAATTATCTAACCTTGCTGGAAGATTTCTGTGTTTGGTGAAATGAGATGCTAACAATCGATGCTAGATTAAATGTCTTGCAGAGATGAACATTTTGTGCAGTTCAGTCTCGTCTCAGAGGGCTGACAGTATCAAGATTAGAGCGAGTTTAAGGGAAGCTGACAGGATAGGGACACCCGAGGCGGTAAGCGATGCCTTGCAGCCAAACCCCGTGGAGGTCAGTGAAGGCATCACATGTGGCGGCACGTACAAGAGCAAGACAACGCTCTCCTGAGGTTTCTTCAACTGTGGCAGTGATGACGGACCCTGATAACCTTTGTCTTGACATTTTGCTCTGTGAGTCAGAGCTGCTTTGAGAAGATGTCATGCACTGACGATGCTGTTGCCTTCGGGGGGCATAACAACTACAAAGCTGCCATATTTAGGGCAGAATTTGCACATTAAGCCAGCGTGACGCTTCCAAAATAGGTTGCGTTGAGAGTCAGTGTGGATACTGGTAGATAAAGTGGCGAACGAGCAAGCTTTACTTAAGTTGCAGAGAACAGAAGGCCAGCAGCCTCTCACTGTGTCACATTTGGTTTGTAAATATTAATCTATTAATATAATTACCCGGCACAAGAGCCTGTGAGTCAAACATGCTGCTGCTGAATAATGCAGAGCTGCTTGTGGCTGTGACTCAGTTCAAGAGCCTCACACTGAAACGAAGTGGCAGCGGTCGTGTCCTTGTTTTTGACCCTTTCAGACTCAGAGAAAAAACACATGAATGATCGTGTGTCAGCGCAGAGTTAAAACTGAAGGCTCTACATGTGAGAAATGGCGGGTGCTGTGCTCTCAGCCTCCATCACAGTCTGCTCTCTGATACCGTCTGCTCTGCTGACTTGGCACCGTCCCTCCCTCTTCTCTGTCTCTCTCTCACAGACAATTGCTCACCATGAGCCTGCCTCCAAGGGCGAACTGCAATTTATTACCTGTTAGTCACGCAGAACCACGGCGACAGAAGATAAAAAGAAAAAAGAAAGAAAATGCTGTCTTGAGCTTGACGAGTTTTAATTCAGAGTTACTGAGAATTCACCAAATGTAAGTCAGTGTGGAAACCCAGCAGTGTGTGTTTCGATCAGGAGCAGTCAGAATCATTACTAAAAACTCCTAAAATATGTTTATTTTGATATGTATTGAGAAAGTTTAGATGAAATCATTATGGGATTTTCCCTCTCCTGTAATGTGTTATGTTTTTGTGCATGATAGATAAAATCCCAAAGTTCCCACCAGAGGGAGTTTTCTCTCCCACACTCTGAGAGAAACGCCTCCGTTGGACATAATGACATCACTATGTAACAATCACGCTTCTATTGGCTAGCTCTTAAACTTATTGTACGCGATAGGCTAAGGGGTGGGGAGTATCGAAGCGATTTACCGATCATAACAGTGTTGTATTTTTGGCACTATATAGAAATGAAACATTAGTACAAATTAAAATTAATGCATGGATAAATAAATTATAAATAACAAATGTTTCTACATTGTGCGGTAACATGAGGCCAAGGATTGCAGTGGTGATACAAAATGAAAGAGTCAGCACAATAACTGAGTGAATGTCAATGGAATAAATTGTACAAAAGAGATGAAGAACATGGCCGATTTCCAAAGCAGTTGTAAAAGGTCATATTGACAGCAAATCAGATCTGAACCCCTAACTAAAGAAATATCTAAAGTTACCAGATGGAAATGACACAGACATTGTTAGATAAGACTGCAAGCTTTGTTACTGATATTGTAATCATTCTTGTCAATAAGTCCGTCCAATATTGGCGTGTAGTTAGTCTTTAGAAATAAATTGAATATATCCTGCATCAGAGTAAGAAAACATACAGCTGTTCATAGAGCAAACATGTTGCCCAATTCGATTAACAACTTCCAGATGTTGATCAAATTGAATCTCTGGCTTCTTTAAGTTGTTACTATTAGTTAATCAGGCCATTCAGAACACAGCGTTTAAAAAGCATAGTCTGTCATATTTCTGACTGAATTTGAAGCACTGATTGCGTTTGAGTCAAAAATAAATTGGTGCTATCTTCAAACGTGAGACCAAAATAAAAGTATCCGGGAGAGATGCCAGTTCAGGAGGGCTTGGAGGCAGTGCACGCATCTCTGTTCAAACCCAGGAAGCTCCCTGATGGAGCAGCTCCAACTCTGAGAGCTCTAAGATCCAGACAGGCAGCCCGGCTCCAAACGACCTCATGGGGTCACGGCGTTTCCTGAGCCAACCCCGAGCAGCTCCCTGATGTCGTTAATGTATTACTTCCATTTAACAAGACACCTCAGGCTCTTGTCTACGCCTTAGCTTGAGGTTGGGACTGTAAATTATTTAGAAAGTGTTCCATTTTACAAGACATTTATTTTGAGTCAGGTGACACTATCTTGAAACAAGTCGAGTGATCCGCAGAGTATTTTAAGATATCATCAAAGGGCTAATAAAACCCTTGAAACAAGCGAAGTAGGAGCCGAGAACTAAAATGATCTCATCTCACAGGCAGCCTTTTTATCTGCTTTGAGGAAAGATAAGATTTTATTGCAATTGTGGATTAAAAAGGCTGGTTTGCAGGGTGTTGAGGGCCGGGGGGTTAGTCTCCGTTGCAGGTTGGTGATGCAGTGGTGTGAAGCCAGATTGGGTTTAATGGCCTTAATCATCACTCACTCTCCACTCAGAGTTGGATGCCCCATCTCAGCTCTCCTTCACTCTTCATTGCAGACCGCCTGCCGTGAAGGGACAGCATATGTCCGCTCATCTGCCCCGCACCATATGCCACACCCATGATCGCTTAATGTCTCACGCCTTATTTGACATTTCATGTTAGTGATGAGATGGTCAGAGCAGCCATCGGCACGGACACACGATTCTAAGTAATCCATCCCAGGTCATCGTAATAACCAATTATCCCAGACTGTCTATCAACAAACATGAAGGTCACCTCAATCATAAGGTCTCACATAATGACTGTACAAACTTTCCCGTGTACTAGCATAAGAGCTCTGTCAGTGTTTCTGTGTGTATGTGTGTGTGATGTATCTCTCTGTCTCTGACTCAGTGTCTTGGAGAGTCCCAGTCGGCTGGATGAGGAGCATCGCCTCATCGCTCGCTACGCCGCCCGCCTGGCAGCCGAGGCGGGAAACTCCACAGTGAGTGTTTCGCATCTGATGATTAGACAAGTTATTGTTCAGAGCTTCTTTGTAGCTCACCCTTATAAAAGTGATCTGATGAGCTTAGTGGACATGTCTCAAAAAGTCATAAATGTATTATTCTTTTCTACTTTCAATGAGTAACGTCTTTGCTCTGACACGTCTCCACCAATGCATGTGTTTTTGCATGTGTATATTTCGGGTTTAATGTATGTCGGTCCTGTTTGTGCATCTGTGTATTAGAAAACTTTTACAGGATAAAACAATTCTGCCTAAATCTACTTCTTCTAATCCAAACTACAGTCCTGACCAATCCTACATAGTTTCACTGTTGTTTTTTATGAAAAACATATTTTTGGTGCAGAAAAAATAAGCCTGTTTTTGCCCCATACCGCAAATATAAGACGATGGCTTAAAGGTGGGGTAGGTAAGTTTGAGAAACCGGCTCGAGATACACTTTTTGTTATATTCCATGGAATGCTCTTAACATCCCGATAGCAATGAATATCTTAAGTGCTTTGACAAAAAATCCATACAAAAAATGTCATCTGTGGAAGCCGTAGTACTGTAAAAAGCACGACCAATCATTTTAGCCGGCCCGGCTAAAATAACTGGATGGCCTACCTGCCTGTCAGCCTTCCATCTGTGCACAAACTTATCTCGTGCCCTCATTGGTCATGTGCGCGTTCGTGTGTGTTGGAGGAGGGGCTCTGTAAGGAAGTGGCAGATTTTCTCCGGTTGTGTATTTTCAAATTCTAGCGATCTCGAGCCGGTTTCTCAAACTTACCTACCCCACCTTTAAGCTGGTGGAAAATAGTTAAAAGTACCTTGAAAACAATAAATATCAAATACCAAATACACATTTTGAACGGTCTTTGATAAAAAGCAGACGGTAGAAGCTTGTGTAGATAACGTTTTCAGGAGAGAAGTTACACGACTACAGGCAGAAAATGTTCTTATTGGGTGACTTTGGGTTTATTTGGATGTGGTTTTTCACTCCGTTATATGGAGGGATAAAGGAAAGCTGTGGTGATGAAATAGTTTCCTGTTTATGCAGAAACATAATACGTCTTCAGCGGAAAGTCATTACTGCTCGCTGTGGTCTGACAGAAACTGTTGGTGTTTCCACTGTTGTTCTCTCACTGTTGTTACTCACCGTTCTTAATGCCATTCTATGCTAATGTTGGTTTTTCAGCAACAATGTCCTCCGACAGATTTGGGTTTCAACTTCGATGCCAACAAGCAACAGAGACAGCTGATCGCAGAGCTGGAGAACAAAAACAGGTCAAATATATAATTTCAACACTTTTACAAATCTGTGCTGTGTTACCGGGTGGTTGGCTGGCAGGGTTTTTTATTTGTTCAGTAAACTCTACTTTTACTTTTCTAATTACGATGCGTTATGTGACAGATTAGTATGGCAGTAAATTGCCAACTCAAAAAACTGAAACAGAGATGGTTCATATTTCCCCAAATGTCAGAATATGCCTTTATAAAATTAGCTCTACCTAGACCAACTAAAAGCTCCCTGCTGTACTTGATAATGCATCAAAACAAATATTCAAAACACTGTGAAAGCAGTAATTATGCATTGCATTTTTCTTTGTAACTTTTGGTGCCAATTTGCAGTAGTTGTGACCATGTACATGCTGCCTCCACACACTTATGCATTCACACACACAGAAACTCAAAAAGATGTGATCTCCAAGGAAGATTATGTCCTCTGAGAGCAAAACACTTGAGTGCTTAAGGGTGGGGAAAGTATTATGGGAGGGAGCCATAACGCTGCTGGTTGGGGCATGTTTTTTAGGCTGTTTCTGTCAATGTACTCTTACTCAAGTCAAATGTTGAGTGCAATATATTCATTTTAACTTATTTTCATGTCTTCTACTGAAGTATTTTCTCCACTGCTGCTCTTAAGTGAAATTATTGTCTTACTCCTCCAGAGAGATCCTTCAGGAGATCCAGCGGCTGCGTCTGGAGCACGAGCAGGCGTCCCAGCCGACCCCAGAGAAAGCCCAGCAGAACCCCACGCTGCTGACAGAACTGCGGCTCCTCAGGTATAAACCTTACTTACACACCAAACACCTCGTATGAGAGCCTCTTCAGTCCATCAACAGGATCAAAGAGCCATATATTAACACAATTAAGTTGTAAAACACTTTGGGGTTGTTGAGTTAATTCACGCTGGACTCATTCTTCAAGGAGAACATTATTTGCTGGTAATTCAGAAGGGTGTTTTTGAATGAGCCGGCAGCAGCATTCGTCACGCTGGCAGACCCCTGGGTCCAGTTGTTGGAATAGACTCACCCTGAAAGGACGCGTTACGGAGCAGAATGACGACTTGTTTTTCTGGCAGGGCCTTAATAATTCATCAGCAGTCAAGTTTATGATGAGCAGCAGTGACAAGGACTTACATTTTATATTAAAGGGGACCTATCATGCAAAATGCACTTTTGTACGTCTTTTATACATGAATATGTGTCCCCGGTGTTCCAGGGAACTCACCAAGTGTCAGAAAACACAACCCTCTCTATTTTCCTCCATACCAAAATCTCTAAAAAAGGGGCTGCAACGGATCTGATCAAAACTGATCCAGATTTGAACACTGTCCTGACGTCAGGACAGTGGCGCTACGGCTATTGGGCCAACTCCACCAATTAGGAGGAGACAGCCACGGCCATTGCCGTTCGAAAGCGCTGGAGACGCGGTAGTACATATGCCAGGCCTGTAGATGGTGCTGTTCTCACTGAATCTGCCCAGAGCTAGAAATTGTCAAATTGAGCGAAATGAGGCATGGCTAAAATGCATGATCTGTTTGGTATTTTGAAAAAAAAAAAGTATAAATATGCCTTATATAGGTATGGTCCTACACTATATTATTCAAATATAGCATGATAGGTCCTCTTTAAGTTAATGTTTAATACCATACATTATTAGCTGGGCCGTTGTATGCAGACAAAGCAGAACTAGATATGCATTTGAATTACATTTTCTCACTGGCACGGTAAAAGATTGATGTATGTAGAGGAATATAATTATGTTGTTGTTTTAAAACATAACACTTTTTACATAAAAGTATTGCTTTATCAGTTGAAGACGGTGTTTGTCTACTTATTATATCTCCCAGTTTAATTCAAACATGTTTAGAAACACCTTTTAAGCCTGTTTTTGATGCAGGTTTTTGAACTGGATATCATCTCATAGTAATATTTATCACAGTTTTTTTGCTTGGCTAGACGGCTCTGATTTGCATGTTTTCAGCCTGAGGATGCAGAACAGAGCAGATGTGTTTACAGTCTGCAGATGGTTGAGAGCTTTTGATTAGATGACTCACTACAACAGACAGATGATAGCTCGAGCTCTTTGAAGGTTTTTCAAAATGCAGTTGCTCTTTGTGAACACCAGAGGGTGATAACAAGACAGAATCCACACCAGATATTTAAAAGGGGGCTGTCAAAGTACAACTCTCTTTGGGCCAAAAAATAAATTACATGTTTTGCATTCTCAAGCTAAGAAACAAGTATTTCCCTTTTCTATTCTATTTATGAAGAACATCAGCTGTCTTCTTGCAGATGAGTAATAGTTAGTAAACAATTAAAGTAGCACTCCTCACTTGAAACTGCCAATGCTCCAGGTCAACACTTTTCATTTATAAATAGACTTTTCCCCCCTAGTAATTTGGTTACAGCCAAAGTATTTATGTACAGTACTGCAGCAACTTGCCAATGTTAAATGTGGGAAGAGAAAAAAAATTGCCATCTGTTATGCACACAAATTGCATTCCTGCTTACAAAGTGTTAGTGATAGCTGGCAATAATTATTATTTTCTTAAATAATAATTTGCAGGACAGATTAAACACATTTGGGGGGCTTTATAAGACTCTCTTGTCGGACATATTCTGGCCCCTTCCTGGTAATGTGGGATCCCTGCTTTAGGATGACCAGGTGTGAAGTGCATGTCACTTTTTACACCCTGTAGTGAAACGATCACTGACTTATATTGCCAGTAAAATATATATGTAACAGTGTAATTGATACAGGTAAAAATACTAGTCAAAAACGTTATACTTGCCCAGAGCCACAGGAACTGATGAAAATACCATCTGACTACATATACACAACCTGCAGTGTCTGAAACTGATCCTTGAAATATTGATCCCTTTAGAAAGTCACCCCATTACACCTGCAACCCAACACTTCCCCCCATTGCATTGTGTTTTATGATTGCTACCTTGTCTTCCCTTGTGTTTAATGTATGCATCCCAAACTCTGTGCAGACACAGGAAGGACGAGCTGGAGCGGCGCATGTCGGCGCTGCAGGAGAGCAGACGGGAGCTGATGGTGCAGCTGGAGGGACTCATGAGGCTGCTGAAGGTAAGACCCTCATCTGTTTCTACAAGAATTAGGTGATAACTCTGATTCTGAATATCCTGCTCCACGGTGCTCTATGGTGCTTAAACAGTAAGTCATTGTCCTAAGTCTAATATAATGTGCTTGATTGTGCTTTAAAGCTTGGTGGAATGTTGGTTAAATGAAATGTTGCCATGTTGGATTATTTGTTCAATGATGTTAAATAGCCGTATGATGCATGGACAAATCATTTTCTTCTTCTCTTTCTTCTTCTGTTGCTTTAATTCTGTTGCTCTCACTCTTCTTGCTCTCTCTCACTGCTTACCTGTGCTGGCTGATAGGATGAGGAGCAGAAGCAGGCTGTAAGTTGCCTTTAATTCAGTTTGAGCCTCAATACCTGGCTTTAGTCTCAGCACTCAGTCTAATGCAACTACATGAGGGAAAGATAATAGGACTCTGCAATCTAACTGGGTTACACTGATGTAGTCCTCTTATCCAGGGTACTCCACCATGCTGGAGCTAAAACCGCAGACTGTGAAACAATCCTTAAATCTCAGGTCCTCAGTCCAAACAAGTTGAGAGAAGTGGGTTTTTCTTGGCCCAGGTGTCAGGGATCTTTTCCTTTCATCGGCACTAACAACCTCCCGTCTAATGTGCCTGCAGTCTGGCCCGCCATCTGCTGCCTGGCTGCCAGCCATCGACCTGGTCTCACTACACCAGAGACGCACAGTGATCCTTTCTGAGGATATATCTGTCCTCTCAGCACAGGCCCTGGTCACTTACACCCACACATGGTTCTCATTACTCCTATACGCAGTAAAGGTGCACGATAGACGCACAGAGTATAGCCAGCCAGTATGGGGTTTCCTAAAGGTTTTCCTGCCATTGTTTTTGTTTGTTCTCCCTATAAGGATTAAGTTATTTCGACCACATCTGTGTCTCGGTTTGTTTTAATATAAGTGACCTTTAGAAGCACAAAGGTCATGTCTTCCCAAAGCTGCAATCTGTGAGTGCAATACGGCGTCGTGCATTGAAATATCACAGAATTGGCATTATTTCATGTGGGGATTAATCTGTTTTTTTCTTTCTATTAGAAGCCCATTTTCCCTAAAGTCTTTCAGATAGAAGATCATTTAGTTTGTCATGTAAATAAGCAAATATGCCATGTTATCTGCTAACTGAACCGGAAGAAATATGCCTAGAAACATTGGTTAGCTCGTCTTCATGCACCTGTCAAGGTCAAACACATAAATACAATGCATATCTCTAATTCATTTGATTCTAAAGTATATATTTGCTGAAAGTAAGATTGTGGCCAACTCACTAACATGTTTCAGCGCAACTCCCCCGGAATTTTCGAGCAAATAGGCATCATTTTATGTAAAGGTCTCATGACATGGCCATTTATACTGATCATAATTCCATTGTGGAGGTCTACTAGAATAGATTTACATTGTTCAATGTTCCAAACTCACATTGGTTTCTCATACAGCATCTCTGTATAGTATGTGTATTCACTCTCTGTCCTAAACGGCTTGTTGGAGCTCCTGCCCCCCCCCCCTCCCCTATGAGCCCAGTGTGCTCTGATTGGTCAGCTCGCCCACTCTGTTCTGATGAGTCCACCACCGTTACAGCGGAACATCAGTGATTATGTGTTACAATGGCGTTAGCAACCAGAAAATGACACCAGTAATGACAAACAGATGAGAATGCTGCGTGGGGTCTGGGTGCCGTGTTGGTGGGACGTTGCGCGGCTCGCTGCTGCGGACAGTGTGAGCTGGATAACCGGGGTCGTTTCCTGGTTGCTGCATGGGGTCTGCGAGACAGCGAGACACCGCAAAACTCAGCCTGAGCACACACACAAACTCTCAGGCTGAGTTCAGGCTGAGAAATCCGCGGAGCCGCGGCTGAGAAAAGATAAGGAGTGTGTGTGTGTGTGTGAGGAAGTGGACCAATCCACGGAGCCATTACGTCACTGTGACCCTTACGTCACTACGACCAGGAAGAAAACATTTGAAAAATAAAAATCTCCAACGAGGCGTTCTGGGGCAGCATAGACAGGTCTTTTCTGTGTTAGAGTTTTACTCGCTACAGGGTGTACGTTGAGGGTTTGTGACTCTGCAGACCGTTTACATGCAGAAAAACCTTCATAACACACAAGGGGACGAGTAATAACCAGAAAAGCATGACATGGGACCTTTAATATGGGATTACCTGATTTAAGTTTTATAGAAATAGTAGGACATTTTAGGAAACATGATACCTAGCTGAGACAGACCATATTCATGTATGTATGTTAAATGCGAGTGAAAACAAGGGAAAGAGCCTCCCTCTGTCCTGAGCCAACAAAAACTGCATACTATCATATCTAAAGCTCACACAATCAGAGTGGTATCAATCTTTTCATCCAACGCTCGACATGAAAGAAAATAACCCTATTTCCCCAAATGTCCAGCTTTTACATAACAGTACAGCTACGATGACGACATTCTAAAGGTTACATTGTGTTTATGGCGATACTGTAACTATCACGGTGTTTGTATGTTACAGTCGCAGTCTGGAGGCTCCCCTCACTCCTCCCCCAGCCACGGGGCGGGCTGCTCCATGCCGATGCCCATTCGCTCCACCTCGGCTGGGTCCACCCCCACCCACAACCCACAGGACTGCCTGGCCGGCGTGGGGGGCGACGTGCTCGAGGCCTTCGCTCATGGTGAGTGAACACCAACTAGACTTAACTTTCATAAAACTGACCAAACCTTCATATTATATACCTGAACTTTTGAAAGAACATCCATAACATTCATCTGTTTGCAACTTATGTATATCAATGAGATAAGATAAGATAAAATAGGGCTGTATTCATCCCGAAGGAAATTGTTGTGCCAGAGTTACAAAAATACAATAAACACAGCAGCACAATAATAATAAAACTGTACACTAACAGTGCAGTAAAAAGAGGAATTCAATAACTACAGGAATCATAGATGGTCACATAATTAATGTAAATATGAACAGTATTTAGTATAGTGCAAAAAAAACGTAGTGGTAGTAGTTACGTAATTGAACGTACTACTGTATGTGCAAATGACAATAAAAGCCTTGAATGTTGAATCTATTATACTTATCATGATATTGCAGTAATTCTACCACCAGGCAGTGTTGGAATTTAAAATTGAATTAGTCTACTATAATACTTATACTTCACTACATTTCTCTGTTTCCCAGGTGTACCTAGAAATCTTCGTAATGATCTATTAGTTGCTGCTGACTCAATCACAAACACCATGTCGTCGCTGGTGAAAGAGCTCCACTCAGGTGAGTCTGTTGCACCTGGTTCATAATGTTATATCATCTGAATATGTGTTGTGTTAACATGTAACTGAAACTGAAATCTGTTACATTTTTTAAGTTGATGACGTGGCCTTGGAAGAGGATGCGAACATGAGGAACGGTGGGGACAGAAGTGAGTCCGACTACATGCTAATTGTTCACTACTACTGTATTAGTTGTTTAGAGCCATAGTCATTATATGTATACATTCCTACCACTGAGAAGTATTGTTTGAGAAGATACCAAGCAGTAATAATAATTTAAGCAATTATTTCAACTGTTCAAAGATAAGCAAGGTTCAAAGTTCATGGTATATAGAGCCGATATAGTGATTATTGCCTTTTTGTAAGAGATTTTGTGAAAGGGGGAAGTAGAAATGTGAGTATGGCACTCAAATACAAAATGTCAATCTTTTGGGTAATCATACAAATTGGCCTAAATATAAACTTGGAGTATTTTCTTCCTTTTTTCTTCAGCTGAGGCAGAATGATCAACAAAAAGTGGGAGTTATAATTAATTCATAATATATTAAGCAAATACTACACAGTTTGGCAGCCAAGACCAGCTGTGGATATAACGATTTCATTGAGATTAAAATATCAAAATTAAATTGTCATGATAATGGGTAAACAAGTTGTTATTTCAAAACAGAAAACAACAACAGATTGTGAAAAAATAAAGGCAGTTTAAACATGTTAATTATCCATTAATAGTTATTTTGAGTTAAAGAGATAATTAACCCGTCATCGCAAAACAACCTGCTGTTGTTTTGCCTCTTTGGAAACAACAGCTTGTTTTCTAAATATACCGAGATAATTAACCTGCCATCATTTGAAAATGTCATCCTGATATACGGTAAGGGGGAAATGAACTCACGATCTCAAGATAATGAAATCAAATGATTGAACAGTTGATCTTGGCAGTTGTTTATTATATTTCTATAGTAACAAGTTGCCTGAAGTACATTTATTTCCTGCGACTAGACGAACAGAAGTTGCGGCTCATTATGAAAGCGTTGTTTCTTCGTCTGCTAGAGTGGAAGAGTTGGCTGCACCTTTATCACACCTTTATCAGCCAATAAAAAAACTTGTTTCGCTTTTTTATAATGAGCGTCTGCTACAGCCCTCCATCCAAAGTAGCGAGGCATCGTGGCACATTGCCCCAGAGTCACTTTAAAAAGGCTGTCAGCAGCACTAACGTTGCTCTTCTGTGTGTGTTTCCAGGCACATTGAGAGTACAGAAGCACTGAGGAAACACAACCACCTGCAAGGACAAACAGTCAACAACTGGGAAGTATCAGTAACAACAACAATAACAACAACAACAACAACAACAACAACAAGCCCTGGCATTAGCACGTAGAGTAATGCATGCTGTAATCTAACAGGATTTCACTATGTGAAGAAAAAAAGTATCTCTTCTCTTCACACCTTGCAGGTAGCAAGATGTGTCTAATTAGCGAGTGTGTATGTTGTCCTGTAAACAAAAACTGCTGTAATTAATTAATGATTTCCCTCATGATGCTAAGGAATGGCTTGCTGTGCTTCCCCCCCCCCCCCCCCCCCCCAAATGTCCCATGGCAGCAGATCTTTCTGTAAATAAACACTGTAAACACAAGACCACAGGAAACGCCCCGACATGAAGGTGACAACATGTTCCCTTTTATTGGTTTTGTATCATTAGCGCTAGTGTTTATCTTACTTTTACTTTTTTTTATAATTTTTGCATGAAGTTGCACTTGTGTCTGGATGTAGGTACTGTACCAAGCTATGGCAGCTCTCTGTGGGTTTTCATTGGTGTCAAGAGTGTCTCCGAGTTCACACAGAGTTTGTTTACCTGCACATCCATATTCTAGAATTCGTTACAAAAAAACGGTGACGTTTGTAAAAGCAGAATCCTGGATATGCCCCGGTTTCTAATATTTTCAAATCTTGTGAAATGCAGTTATTTGTTTTTACTTTCTGACAGCTGAATAAGATCAATATCTTTCCTACAATTGTACCTGAAATATAAAGCTAGAGCCAGAAGATGGTTAGCTTAGCATAAAGATAAGGATACAACCTTAGCCTGGCTCTGCACAAATGTAAACATCAGGACTTCTAAGAGCCTTGCTGACAGCATTAGCATGGCAGTGAAGACTCAAGGAAGCAACTGTGTTTGGCTTGTCAGCTTTCTTACCAAGAAGTACAAGAAATCTATACGCTAAATATGAAGCTTTTACGAGCAGCTATTTTGCCAACCTTAGCTAAAAGCCTGGAACAGCTAACTTTGCTCTTTCCAAAAGGTAACAAAATCGACCTTCCTGCACCTCTAAAACGCTCTAAGTCTTTCTAAGGATGTGGTGATATATGTTATTATAGTATACAGAGCATATTAAGAAACAATACAAGCTATCGAGAATACTTTGTGCGTGTAAACAAACTCACTAGAGTCACTACTGTACTGCTGCTATACTGGGCTCTCAGTGAGCCACCCCCTGCAAATAAAGGGCTGTGCGATCAAAAGAAACTAAGAGGCTACTACAAACACAATAACGAGTCTCGTTGTTTTACTCCGCAAAAAATGTACTGAACACCTGACAGCTGACAGCCTCAGTATTTAATGTTTAAGTGTAGGGAAGCACCTCAGGATAACTAGCAATGAATTAGGCGTTTAGTTTTAGTTACAATATGCAGGATACAGGATGTAAGGATGTAAGGTTGTAGCAAGTAGGAAATGCTTTGAAAGCTTTATTTAGTTATCAAAGGAATATTAAAAATGGTTATGTGCAATGGTGGTAGGTGCTCAGGGACTGCAGAGCTACTATAGCTGATATATAGCGGTAATGTCCTTTAACTGCTCCACATTAGGAGGTTAACGATCAATGATGAGTACAAATTGAGGGTTTCATTCCAAACACAATGTTTTTACACAAAGAAAACCTTTTGTGATCCTTGTTGTGGGATTAAGTCAAAACGTGCAAAAGTAGTTCATTTGACTCTAATTTAACTTATACATTTGTCTTGGAATAAAACTCTTTAAATATCTAAAAGGAAAACAGCAAGTGATTACCGCTGGTTAAAGAATGTGGTTTAAATGCTATTTGGTGAAGCATGTTGTTGGATAGTTTGTCTGTGTGTGAATTAGTGTCTTTCACAGGAAATCAAAGAGAGGATTTTCATTGGGTCTAAATAACATTATTTTTGTCCTTCAGGATAAAAGATTTGAAATGTTTTTTTTTTGTGTGAATTCAATGTGATAAAGGTCCAGGGAAGTATTAGTATGAAATGCGCAGAAAGGAAGTCAAACGGACTGAATCGAGCTGAAAACATGACGTTTTTATTTTGAAATCTGTACAGTAAGCCTATCCTATAAGCTAAGTAAAAGGTATCGACAACCTGCTACACTGTGTCAAGAAAAATAACAAAAAGAGGCTCCTTTGTTATTTTAAATGTGATGTTTTTATTCAGTTCTGCTCTGTTATTATCGTTTAGTATTAGTGGAGTACAGTCAGTGTAATGCGTTTGTCAAACAGAGATTCACATGCATACTCGCGCCTGAATAGTCGCCAAAATACGAAAAAAGTAGAAAGTACAACATTTTAAATTCTGTGACCTCTAATGACAAAGTTTGTTCAGTCGGAAAGGGTCCAGCAAATACTTCAAATGCAGAGGTAAAGATTTAAGAAGTGACTGTCTTGCCCTTCATCCTTTCAGTTTGTGCCTGTAGCTGTTCTGTAAAGTGCTGTACAAAGTAACCATTCAGCAGATAAGATAATCCATCCGCCTTTATGTCTGTGACTGTAGATATTTTTATTTATTTATTTAATGTGTTATGAGGGGGAAACTCATGCTCAGCCTTTACATTTGTGCCAAACTGTTTGTGTGTCATACAAAGTACAGGTATATATCAAAGTATATCTGCGTTAGTATGTTGTTGTTGCCCATCGTTTATTCACAGACTACCCGGAGATGTTATTGGTTTCCTGCTGGAAAACATTTAATATAGACAGACGACACATTCCAGATCGACTGATAGACTCACGGATGTCATTAAATGTGGAGGCAATACAAATAAAACCATCCATTGTGATCCTGTTATTGTTTGCAGAGAGACAATGTGCAAAGAGCAACAACGCCCCCCCCCCGGTGTTATTTATCTATGTCTGTGTTCTGTACGGTTACGCTTCTGCTACACATTTGTTTCTCGTGTTGATTTTACAAAAACATAGTTTTATGCCACAAAGCCACTGTCTTTTGTAAATAAATCAAATGTGAGATATATTAAAAAGATTTAAAATATGGCTTCTACTGGTCGTGTCATGATTGTTGGTGTATTTTTTTATTAATTAATACTTAAATGCCCTATATCATATAACATACGACGCATATTTATTAGTTCCTATACCATTTAACTGTTTCAAATGTGAGTAACTGACTGAACTCAAATATCACAGATGTTGTTTAAATGGTGGCCAATAAAAAAGATTGATTGGTCATTTATTAGCATTTGAAAATAAGAAGGAACAATTTGGAAGTACTTTTAATTGAGACTTACTTTTTTTTAACTTCTAATATACTTCTTTTAGCAGAATATTACATTTTTACATTTTTGCAATAGCAAGTTGCTTTTTCACAGTCACATACTAAACTACATGATACTGTGTGACACATATCTATAAAACATATTTATATTACAAAAATCAAACAACAATTCTGTGTTACATTGACATTGATTAAACTACACAGAAGTATAAAATAAAATAACACTTTTATGAATTTGTTTTCATAGTCTGGTCTGACATGAATAGATATGAATGTGTCCATTGTTTATTTGTCGGTCAGTCATTGTGCTTGTCTTCAGTTCATAGACCTCATGCTCACATTCTAGTTAAAATGGTTTGTTTCTTCCAAACAAATAGGTAAATGAAAACCTTAAATCTTATCTCTCTTGTTTCTCACAAGCTTCATCTTTTCATCTTCGTGAAAACACACAACTTCCTCCTAACATGTCAGAAACCAATGCCTTTCCTGTATCACCTACTAAGCTACATCAAAGACTCTTTTTCCTGCTGCTTCAGGCACCAACAGTGATAAAAACCACACAAGTGAGATGAGGTCGGACCCACTATCATCATCCTCCGTGGGTTTCTAGGAGGACACAGAGTTTCCAGCAGCCTGCCCCACACACACACACACACACACACACACACACACACACACACACACACACACACACACACACACACACACACACACACACACACACACACACACACACACACACACACACACACACACACACACACACACACACACACACACACACACACACACACACACACACACACACACACACACACACACACACACACACACACACACACACACACACACACACACACACACATCACACACACACACACACACACACACACACACACACACACACACACACACACACACACACACACACACACACACACACACCACACACACACCACACACACACACACACACACACACACACACACACACACACACACACACACACACACACACACACACACACACACACACACGTCACTTGTTAGACACTTTTATCCAAAGCGACTGACATACTCAATACTGTGAGCAATCCCCACAGGAGCAATTTGGGGTGAAGTGTCTCAGGGACACAACGACATGCTGACTGCAGTGGGGTTTGAACCCACACACACGCACACACACAAACACACACACAGTCCTATTTAGGGTCATGCTGATGCTGCTCTGTCCTCACATGAACCTCTGACTGAAAGAGGAGATGCGGCTGCTTCCAGATCAGTGAACCACATCCGCCTGCTGCACACACATTTCCTCTCTCCCTCATTGCCCCTAAAGAGCTCTCAATCTGCCTCACGCGGAGCTCTCTGTGAGCCTTTAATCCTCCTGCGTCGGCAACATTTACCTCTCTATGTCTCCGACTAGTGGGCGTGTGCAGGATGAGTGCAGGCAGGCTGCTGCAGGGTTAATGGAGTGAATGTGATAAAGAGATTTCAAATCTTGTCCTAGCTGCACTCTGGGAAATGAAATGAAGATGTGCTGCTAGAGGAAGATCCTGCTCAGAGGATACAATCTAAAAGGGCTGCAAGAGATGAGCTTCATGCTACTGTACATCCGATTTGATTTAAAGCAAACAAACTGAATAACAAAGTGCACCCAGGAATGTGAAATGATCTACTTGAGAAAGTCCAGTGCTGCTTTTTCAAATATGTTTGTTAATAAGAAACGTATCAAATGGTTTCAAACATATCTATATTTATCTTTTTCTATTCATACAGTACCATTATGTTGTTGTAAGACAGTACAATTGTGCAGAAATCTCCTTTATGCCAGTGTTTGCATCCCTCACTTGTATACTATATGCTTCTAAACAGATGCATATTTTGAATGTTATTCGAAATATGCATCTATTTGGAAAGACAAAAAAGTTACAATACATTTATTTTTTATTAAGCAATAATACTGGAGAAACAAGTGACAAAGACACAAATCCATCTCTTTGTGCATGTTTTATTATTAGTTTCAGTTACGCAAAGCAAAAATCCAAGTTAAAATTGGACCCCAAAGACAACGTTTTTACTCAAAACAAGTTATGCTACATATCCTTTTTGCTTAAAAGCGTTCCTAAATGAATCTGATGTATCAAACACAGCAGACATTATTACTTGTAATTACAGGGAAAGGCCCAGGTGTTACTAATAACTTTAATGATGTCTGCGTTCTAGGAATTCATGCAACGCAATGCAGCAATTAACAATGTTATTAGTCACACCTGTGTTTGATAACTCAACATGGCCGCTGTGAAAACTGTTAATTTGACCAGGGATAGGATAAGACATTATAGTTTATCCCTGAACAGCATCTCGGGTGTCACAACAGTCAAAGAGTAGAAACAACAAACCTGAAATATATGAAAACAACTACATTTGAATGACAAAGGTATGTGAAACGTGACTGTTGTTCATGTTGTAGAATAGGGGATCAATGAGTACTCGTCTAGAATGCAGTACAGAATGTGTAGTGTAGTGTGCAAATGCAACCACATACTGTACAGTGCATCTGACTCTATCTTTCCTTGTTATAAAGCCCTCCATGGCAACCTGCCATCATTTATGACTTCCTCATTAAATTGGTCTTATAGTAATTATTGTACATTGGCTGATGCATGAAGTCCCACGTGCAAACATTACGTTGTGGAAAACTACTTTGAGTATCAGTGCTGCAAACGTTTTATGATCCTATTAAACCAAACACAAAACTGTTGACACAATTGCACCTACAGTATGAGTCCATTTAAAACCAAGATTACAAACTACTCCGCTCTTGAATGTAAATTTCAATGATTCCTGGAGGTTTAAATAAAGGTTGACTTCTCACAGAGCAAACGTGTACTGTAGTGTGAGGCTGGTTAGAAGAGACATTAGATTCAGAGTGGACATCAATGTCAAGAGGTAAATATGTAAAGTAGTATTATGAGAAGAGCTCCTGTAAAGCACATGTTTCTCTTCTCGAGGCCTCGGAGCCGGCTCGAAGCATCAGCTAATTACATCGCTGCTCAGGGCCCCTCAGCCACCAGGGGGCCCATAAATGCAGCAAATTAAGAATGAGGAAGTCTCCACAGGTTCCTGTGTTCATTTATCTCAACATAAAAAAAGAACATACTTCACGTGTTGTACTTTTATGCACAGATTAAAAGTGGTTTGTTTTTTACCTTTCATTTTGAAACATAACAGTTGTTTCAAGTTTATTTACACTGTATTTCAAAGCCAGTGGTGGTATTTTTCAATGCAATATGACAATATCATAGAAACAATTACAGATACCTCTAAGGTTTTCACATCCGTGACCTGCACTGTTGTGGGAACATGTGTGTATGTCAAACAAATATTCCTGATGGTCCCATGCCTCAAACAGACCGAGGCTGGCGCTGCTTAGCCTCTAAAGCGGCTCCTTGGCAAAGAAAACCAACATGAATCAGATCTCTCTGAGGGGAAGTGGTGAATATAAGAAAAGGGCATTTATCTTTGCACACAGGTCTACTGTTTATTTCTGCCCTGAGGTCTCACCAGAGCAGCCAGAACGGCACTTGAGGGGCTCCTGGACCACTCTAATGTCTCCCAGGTGTAACATAAGTTTAGAAAATCAGGCATGGAAATGTTAGAGTGAGGAATTGTTTTAACATTTAAACAAAAATGTGTATGTATAAGAGTAAAATTAAACTTAACTTTGTCACCAAATCTGATTTTGTTCATTTATTCACACTGACTCAACATAATATAAAAAACATTTATATTATTAAAAAATAGTTAAAATGTTCAGTACACAGTAATTACATAAAACATTATTAAATTAGATGGAAAGTCACACTTTAAGGCATAATTATTTCTGAATTATTTCAGGCTTAAAAAGACACATTTTAAATTTAAAAAGCAACCGTTTTAGATTCAGATTTTAAGTATAATTCTGGAATCATTTAAAAAATAAACCAATGCAATTTTAAGGGTTCTTAAATCCATATAAAGCACTTTGACACTGTTTACAAAAAAATGCTGTATAAATAAAGTTATTATTGTTCTCTTACTGACTAACAGAACGGTGAGACGGCAGTCTCTAGGACCCTGCGGCCCGGCACAGTGCCAGCCAAAACATTTGTATTATTAAAAATAGTTCATGTTCAGTACACAGTAATTACATAAAACATTATTAAATTAAATAAAAAGATGGAAAGTCACACTTTAAGGCATAATTATTTCTGAATCTCTGTCATATGTCACAAAAAGATGACATTTTCCCCCCAAAAATTTACAAAAATAAACAAATTAATTAATTATTAATGTTTTCTAAAGGGCATGCGGTGATTGCTTCACCCTACGGGGCTCTTGCGAGTATGAGTTATATATCTCAGACCACCTTTTGATTTAAAGAAATAAACTAATACATTTTTCAAAGCACCTCAGCAGGGTTTTCCGCACCCAACTGGGCTCCAGAGGGCAAGATATTCAAAACAAATCTAGATGTGAGTATCAGAAAGGTCCATGAGTCATCACACTGAGTTGAGCAAAAGGAAATGTTAAATAAAGTGAATTCATTTTAGACTTATTAGTCTCAGACCACCTTCACATTGAGTTGAGCAAAAATAAAATAAAAGCTAGGAATGTGACCAACTTATATAAGTCTTAGGAATCATTTATTAATTAATGTAAAAAATAATGAACTAATACATGTTTGAAGGTTACTCAGCAGTGTTCAACGCACCCAAC